GATCAGGTTAGTGATGAACCGGATAGTGATTTTGTCGGGTACCAGATAACCAGGAATCCTACAAAACCACTTCGATTAATAGTACAGAACGTATTCTACCTCGTTCTACTGTAAGATAATAGATAATAGACAATGCAGCATACAAGACTATTCATCAACTGGTCGAGGGTGAGGTCTAGACATCTAAACATTTACCCCATTTAGTATCTTCTGAGATATATAAAAATGACATTTGCTAAATAATTTTCTTAATTTCAAGGGTTGTCGCCAATTTATATCGTTTTCATTAATCAACCGTTGTCCATGTAATCAAGTTTACAACCCTTACTCAAAGTTATATCCAATAAAGCGATAAATATGAGAAAATGGCGACCATAAATTCGCAATTGATAGCCGTAAAAACCAAACACGACCGCGTGTTCTATTTCCGTCTGTTGTGCATATCAAATTTTATTATGTTATCTACAAAAAATATATTTTTTTTTCAGAAAAGTTAATACCAGTAGAACAACTGATAATATTTAATTAAATATAACAAACTTAAAATTGAACATCAATTTACAATTAATTAATGATAAGCAAATTTTAAAGGATTTGCTTGAGATTAAACAGAAATTTAGCTGCATCAGTAGCTCAACACTTGCAACATGTTCCATAGTTGATTTTTAATAAGCTGATTTGAAACATCGAAATGCTCTACTATTTATGTATTTCACTTCCATCTCTATGCCTGAGTTCTCTTTTTAATTAAATAGAAAACTAGCTGCATTTTGTTCTGACTTTGCGCCCCTTGTAAATTACAGGTGATAACCTAAAGCCGTTCCCGAACAAACACCAAAATAAGTCTGACTGTCTGACATGTAATTCCAAAGATAGTCAGACAAGGAAACTTTTACCTTTTCACTGTATTGATCCCGACTAGAATTTATAAGGGGCCTCATGTTACTAATAAGGGGCACGCCGATATAGGAATTTTCCCGTAGATTGCTTATGAAAATCCAACCAAAAAAGTGGTGGCGCTCTGCGGCAAGGCGTTATATCCCTCCTCCTTGCCCAAAGGGCAACCTCATAAGCACCATAAGGGGTAGTGGGCTACCCACTTAGGGATCCTACCTGCACCCCCCTCAAAATTCTAGTCGGAATGCGGTATATATATATATAAGAATAAGTGAACAATTGTAAAATATTTATGAAAATAACTTAACCATCGAAATTTCAATCAATGCAAAATATTTATTATTGTAAACCAACAGAAAACAAACGCATTATTCTTTGTATAGACACATTTCACCGGCACCTTATTTGTAACCAGCACCAGCCATCTACAAGAAATTTCTGTATGTCTAGGTAAGTATACTTCGTTTCCTTTCTGTAGCGATGTGACCTTCAGTTTGACTGGCGCAAAGTAGAAAAGAACAACACTAGACCAGAAAAGGAAGGAGACAACTCTCGGCCAAACTCTTAACCGGTGAGGAGCGTATAATCCGTACAGTACTGCACGGAAAAATTGACCATTTTATACACTACAATTGCATTACTCAAATGTGCTGTTATTAGTACCATTTACTACTGAAAATAATAACGAGATGTTTATTTATATTTGAAGACATATTAAAGGTTTAACGCTTGTTTTCGACTAGCACTACTATTCATGATTGAACAAAACTTTTGGCAGGTACTGTATGAAAAAGTATGTTTAATGAACAACAGTCAAGAGTATAATAAGCTTTTTTCTCCCTACCTACGATTTTGCCAGCGCGCATCCAAGATATTGGAAGGGGCATATCGCTAGAGAAAGTAAATGAAGTATAAGAGCATGAGCTTTCTCCGTGGAAAACGCTTCCGAATATAAATTTTGATTGACTGCAGCCAGTCCAAATAATCGATTCTTATGATCCTCCATCAAGGCACCAGCGTCGCCTTTATAGTAAGCACAAGTCCCTCTGGCCGCAATCGAACTACCTACCTAATATTGGTAAAGTTTTACGTGCAGTCGTTAAATTTCTTTGTGTGCACAATACCGTTACAATGTACTCGAGGTGTCGCGCATTGCACCGTTCCATAATAACCGTTACAACGACCACTGCTCGACGCAATGGTCGATACTGAATACATTATTCAAATTTTGATCCGTTTTCCCAACCATCGGTTGGTCCTGAAAGTATGTATGCCATATACCAACAATAAACCGTTCAATTACGCCTACAACTGGATCATGCTAGCTATTATGAATTTTAAGCATGGTAATGTGAAACATTACAACCCATGGACACAGATCATAACCAAGATCTTATGATAAACAAAAACTTTCATTCTGTTAGGTCCTTTGGTCCGAAAGGCAGAGGGGGTCTAAACAGAAGCGGAACGGGGACAAAAACGTTACCAAAAATCTCTAAACTTAAATTTACCTGCCAGTACGCTAACAGAATGGGACAAAAATTGAATTATCTCCAAATACCACCATCAACTGGGGCACTCAATATGGAAAACAGCAAAGAAAGCAGTTATATAAGTTAGGATCGTGCTCAAGTCCTTTCTTTTGTTTATGGGAATGTAAAAAGTAAAATTAAGGTTGCGTTAGGTTAAACTTTCTATGTATCTTTTTAAAAATACGCGCCTTTTTTTGTACGCATGCTGTCTGACATCGTACTATGTGAATAATCCTTTGTCCTGATTCCGCTTTCATCCCTGATTCAAGCAGAGCTGGGCAGAGCTTTATCGCTTTGTGGTTGACAATGTGCCTTCAATTCCTTCAGGGTTTAGAAGCAATATAATTCAAGTCCTTTCATCAATAAATTAATAGTTGCATAGCAAACAAAAGTGCTGTGTAATTTATAATTCAATGGACTTGAAGCTCCATCAAAGTGTTTGAAACATTTTAAAAGTGCTAAGGGACTTGAATTCAATTGCTTTCGAAGTAATCGGTAATTCGAATTCTTTGGATTTTACAATATAATTGGAGCTTCAAGACCAAATACTTTAGGTTTAGGACTTGAAACTTTACTGATGAGGGCTTTACCCAGTTATACCTTGAAGTCCCAAGGACTTTGAAGTAACAATTACTTCGAAAAATAATTAGTTTCAAAGCCCTAAGCATTTTGCGTGATGCCTTTTCAAATACAAGTACGGACGGACTTTAACTACAATTCCTTCCAAGCCCCGAAAGGACTGGAAGTACATTTTCAAGCATGATGAAGTACTCAAGACTTGGTCAGCACTTCATGAAACTGTGTAAAATTTAATCTATTTTATAAACTTCAGCCACGACTGACATACATCATCAGTTTAAAGTGTTTACATTCTAGCGGAAACCCCACCCGCACACATAATGAAACAGCGTAGTCGAAAATCAGCCTGTTGAACATTTCCCAGATAATACCCCCCCAAAGTAAGTCGAAGCGAGCAATAATCATTCTTTAGAACAAACAATCGATCACCAACTCCACCAAATAAACGGCGAAATTGCAAATGTTTACGTTGGCTACTCGAAATAAAAACGTTGTCCTTCAGAAAATACAATTCAGAGTGCGTTACATTGACTGAACAGACTGCCTGTTCTAATAAAAAACAAAAGCGAAATAAATAATAGAAGCGATAACACTACCCAGATAACAAATTTTAATGAAAATCCTAACGGTACTATATGAGTTATTTATGTTCAATTGCAACGCCTGACGCAAATTTTATTATTTTGTGGTGGAAATATTACTAAATCAATTTGTTCCAAATCTTCAGTACTTCAAGGTTTTCCTACAGAAAAGTCAAATCATTTGTAAATTTGACACACATCAGACTGAAGCACGTTAATTTTACTTTAACAAAAATGCCAAAAAAAAGGTGCGAATAAGACTCGCACCCTGAAAGTTCAGCACCGGATCAGTTCAAATAAGTATGGACGATTCTGAACTGGTCCATTCGATCGCTTTTCGGATATTTCGGATTTTAAAATAGGCAAAACTAGAAAATACCACAAATGGCGTGGTAAACGCCATCTGTAGTACGATGCTACATTTTAGGATTACGTATGCTCCAACAAGGTCCATTTAAATATATGGATATCTACTTGCTGAAACGAATCCCGGCGTAGCTAACCTCAACGTGATAGGCACGTTACCATAATCGAATAAAATAATTCGAAGTGGTCTGTATTCTGTCGAAACTGCCAGACGCGGATCGCGATTTCGATCTTTTTGGATCTCATCAGCGCGTCGCAGGCAGCTCCGACAGAACACAGACCAAGCTTTACCTGCTGACCTGTTCTTAACAGCGCGTTTTAGAAAATACCACAAATGGCGTGGTGAGCGCCTGCGACGCGCTGATGAGATCCAAAAAGATCGAAATCGCGATCCGCGTCTGGCAGTTTCGAGAGAATACAGACCACTTCGAATTATTTTATTAGGCAAAACTAGTTTAACGTGAAACGGATATTGATCAGTAACAGGTTTAAGACAAGCAAATTTGAACTGGTCCATCCTATCGGATAAACCGGTTTGGTTGGCCTAGGCAAAGCTAGTTTATCGTGAAATCGGGTTTGCCCGGTAACAGATTTAGGACAAATCAATTTGGATTATCACTCTTCGGATAAACTAGTTTGGTCTATGCAAAATTACTGTAGTCTACAATCGGGTTTACCCGGTAACATTTACATTTAATATCCTGTCACAACAAGTTTAGTCATATTATATTGATTGCTAAACCATACAGGTAAGTCACCGATAAAGGTATGCGGTGAACCGTTTGAATCTAACACAGCAACCGCTGTCGTTGATGTCAACAACACAGTCGAAAGAAGTGACGACCGCATAACCCAGCAGAAGCGTCAGCGTCGATCAACGACGGCCGTCGGTCGCACCATTTTAACCTATATCAATGAAAAGCGTCGAAGGAAATCAAGAAATATGAATGGAGCATAACGCAACGCAATGTGCGCATGCGTCGTGGCGTCTCGCGCGCGTTTGTGATGTCCAAGACGTCGCTTCGTCTAATCAGTGCGACGGACAACGGCGTCGCGACGCGCTCCAGATACTAACGGTACGTCGTCGGTTGATCGTTTATCACGCGAGCGAAACTTAGCGTTCAAGTTTCGAATTCACGCTGCACCTTAATCACTTGATACGCACGAATTTTTAATATAAATGAATTAATTACATGAAGAATACTTTGTAAATATTAAACTTTTGTGGTAGTTTAATGTAAATTAGATACAGTGTTTTTGATACTATGGAAGTTCTAGTGGCTTTTTTATTTTGTGGGAGTGTATGCCAAACTCTGGCATACTTCATAGGGGAAAACAAAAGCACTTTCTAAAGAACTTTAATTTTTACCATGAGTTTCCGTTAACTGGATGGATAACATACGAGAAAAAATTAGTAAAAATAAATTATTGTACGTGTTCAGTAACAAAACAAATGGTAAAAATCGGATGAAGTAACAAACTATTTTTTCTATAAAATATAAATGCCAACAAAAACAAAACGAAAAACAACTACTACACAATCTCAGCAACATTGTAAATATTTGAGTAAAACTTGATGAAGGTTGGTTAAACACATTTTCCTGGTGCACTGAGTAATATGCTGATAAAAAGTTATTGATAACAAAATTAGAAAACAAAATAAATAATTTACCAGACAACAAAGATTGTATAAAAATGTTTTAATTATATATCTAATAAATTTCAACCGTCTAATACTTGTTGTTAGTGGATCATATATAAATTAATTAACAATACGTTAAATTAAAATCAATGGGCCACAAAATCATATTTTTGCAATTTAGTTATTCCTGCATTTATGCTTAACAAATTCGTATTTTTCATAAAAAATATCTTCAAAATTTAGGTTTCGGAAAAAGAAACAAAATGTATAAGTCGTTCATATCAACGAATAATAAGTATCACAGATGAAACGAAATTCTTCGCATAAACACCCTGTATTCAATAGTTTATTAATTTTTAATTAGCCTATTTATCATACATACACTGCACAACCAGATTACACCGAAAAATCGCTAATCCACTTTTACATTAAGTACTGTCGATATTTGAACTAATATAAAAAATTTATTGTAGATTTTAATCGCACCATATGTAGTTTCATTCGACCATACGTAAACCGATCAAAAATATTAATTAACCCTTATACCACAAGTAAAATCGATTTTAATTTTTTATTTAAATTTATATTTTATTCGACATTACTCTGCATTATGCATGCAATCGATCATACGCTGTTAACGAGCCATTCGAGGAAAATACGAGAAAAATAATTTAAGAAATTATTATGCAGTTTATAGATACAGATAAAACTGATCCATAAAAAGCAAATTCTTTGTTTCAATAGATTATAAAAGAATAATGCTCATCTACGATGTATTATAGTCACTTTTTTGAATCGCTAATATTGTCGTAAAATGATATAAGCTATGAAGTCATGGTCAATTTCCACAGACTTGGACTACATTAATTTTTAATAAAACAAAATACATACGACAACCATCATGGGATTTTTCACGGGAATTCTTTTTTGCTTACATTCCACCATCTGATAAACGTTTCGTACATTTTTAAAATCATCGCAATGCAAACTTTTCCTTCGGTTTCAAATATACTAAAATAATTACATCAGTACTGCTACTGCTACACATGTTTGGAAAAACTTTTACGTGCTCGCATATTATTACCGAGGTTGGTCCATAAATTATGTAACTCACAATTCATCCATTTTTAACCCCCCTTCTCCCACGTAATAGGAACGTTACTCCTAGCCCCTTTCCCATTACATAATGAGTGAATTGTAAAAGTTTTAGGCATGAATTCTGAAAAGGAAAACTTAACCTAACTCTAAATTAATATTTAAATATATATCATCGATTTTTATGTTAAATGAATATATATTTTGATACATTTACATACATTTAACGCCGTTTGTTCATATTTATTTTATACACAAAACACACATTGCAGTGGCGGTACTTTCTCGTAAGCCTAAAAGGCGGGCCTACCTTTCTCTAAAGCGCTTAAATTTTCTAAGAGAAACGACGATGCGCTTTAATATTATTACGTATCAAACTACTTTCTGGTTATTTATCTCGTTGGAATTGAATCTTGCATAAAAGTTTTTAGCAATCGGTATATATACAGCAACGTGTTGTATTGTAATATTGAAGGAAACCACAGCGGGCTATGTCGCCCTTGGTTGTCTTTTCCTTGTCGGATCGCATCGTAGTCTTGATCGTTGGCTGCTTCTGGTATGCCATCAATTTCTAATCGAGCCACTCCAGCGTCGCGACGCCCGACATCTATCTCGAATAACCGAGCGAACAGACGCTCTTGAACAGCCGTCGCGTCCGTCGAGGAATTGAAATAAGAAATACATTATGCAATATGCAAATAGAAAAACGTCTCCGCTGTGACGAACGGACGTTTAACCAAAAATATTCACGGAAAACGGAAAAATAAATAGTGAAACAAAACTTTAAAGAACATATAAATTAAACATGCCGCATGGCATTTTCATCTATTTATTTATTTTATTAAAGTAGTATCACCCTAAAACCCTTTCATTTTAAAGTAATAATGATAAAGTATTGATTTACAAAAATACTCGGGTTTTGTTATTATTGAGTAGTAGTCTACTACTAACTCATTTATTGGCATGCAGATTTTAAGGTGTTATTTTTACCTTTCAAAAACTTGTTTTACCATTAATAAGGAAATATTAAATTCGTACTGTTGACTTTAAAAATTCGCGTGTAAACACATATCGATTCGATTTCATTTAATAGAAAAAATAGTTTTCTAAATCTTACTACTTTTAAACATGCATAAATACAGATGTTGCATTTACCACCTTTTCCGGTAGGTTGAAGAAAAATTTTGGACATTCCGTTGACATCGTTGTAAAAATTACCATGCAGCACGCCAGTAATAAAAGTCTAAAAATTATACAGCAGTGAAATAAAAATCGCGAAAGGTATGAATTTGAAATTCAGATGGAGACCAATAGAAGTCCTCGCAGGAGTCAACAGAGACCATTATTACGTTCAGTGATTAAAACATGACCGAAGACGCGATCTTCTATGTCACGACTATCGCAACTTACAACATTTCAGTGAATGCTACTATTAATGAAGAAGACAGTGAAGGAACCGGCAGCAGTTTTAACAACTGGTGGGCTCTGCTAGCGTTAATGTTGGTTTTAGGTACCGCCGCTGGTAACATACTTGTTTGTCTAGCTATCACTTGGGAGAGACGTCTGCAAAATGTGACCAACTACTTCCTTATGTCACTAGCTATTACTGACCTAATGGTCGCCATATTGGTCATGCCTGTTGGAATTTTGACATTGGTTCGCGGTAAGTAATTAAATGAAGAAAATTCATAGGAAATGTAATTTAATAACATAGATAAGTTGTATCTTTCTACTAACCTTACAATTTGTACACCAACAATCAATATGGTGTGCAAAATTATACAATCAAACGTAAACTAGTTATCATCATCATCTTCATAAGGTCGTCAGTCCTAAGACTGGTTGGACACGTACCTCCACTCTTTCCTATCCTTAGTTAATTTTCGGATTTACCTAAAACTAGAACAACCCACATCCTTAACTAATTGCGAACAGTAATCTAATTTAGGTCTACCTCTACCCCTCCTAACTCTCGTTTCTGCCTCTAATATCTAGTCTCTCTGACTAGACCTTTATGTCTGGGAAGGCGTCCTACCAACCTATCTCGCCTATTTTTTATTGACTTCCATAGAGTCCTCTGTTCTCTTATTCTTTCTAATACCTCTTCATTTCTAACCTTCTCTATCCACGGTATCCTCATCATTTGCATTCGTAACACCACATTTCCTCGCATTTCCTTAAAACTAGAACATCCCACATCTCTCTTAATCTCTTGTCCTGCATGTTTTAGAATTCCCACCTGTATCTCATCTATACCTGACGCCCTAAGTTTTTTAATGGTATATCGTATTCGTGTCAAATTAGCTTAAAGACCATAAAAAACAAAAGTATGGCTACAGATACACTAACACTCATCCATAAATAAATAACATTTATGCAATAATTATGGCACTTCTGTACCGACATAGGTAATCCAACTCTTCTTAATATTTAATATGTTAAATTTTTAAGTGCATTTAACAACTTCTAATTTCTTAAGCAAAAAGTAAAACCTGAATACATATTTATTTTTGAAAATAATACAGTAGAACTCCTGTTAGTCGATTACGCATTATTTTTTAATCGTATATCGGATTAATTAGGCTAGTTCAAACAAAAGCGACCACGATTTCTGGAAGACGACACATCTCTGTTAAATAACTACAACATCTCGGATCAGCCGGCCAAAACGGTAACCGATCAGGGTTCTAGTGCTAAGTAAAATGTTCTGTTAAACAACATGAGACGTAATGTTATTATTCTGCCTTAATGTTATGCCAAGGAAATGTTGGAACATTAGTTTTCAGAGAATGTAATACATATAGTAATGGTATCAATCAGTTTCCATGATTAGTAACCCGTATCTGGTATGCAAATTGAAACTGAAAGCACATCGTTCGTCTTGTCTTTTCCTATCGTAACCTAACCTAACCTAACCGCCTTTTTTGCTGATTTTCATAATATAATATTAAGGACAACAATGATAATACTCCCACTTACAACCTAGACTAGTATTTGTTTATTGCTGCGCCCGATTAAAATTAACAGATATTCGAATTAAAGAGGTAATTTATAACGAAAACCTCGAATTCCGAAAAGAGAAATTGAGAAGTTTGAGTTAAAGAGTTTGCAAATAATGTAAAACAATATTTGTGTCCCTACACCATGAAAAGAAAAAAAATTTCGTGTTAAAAAAGATTTCGAGTTATAGAGGTTCGACTGTAGTTTTGTTTATAATTGTGGATTAGGCATGCATATGTTTTGTTAATCGATAATACACATAATAAAGTAATGTGTGGGAGTAGCACTTTCTTTTCCTTTATCGTCAATGTAGTAATTATTACTTGGCATGCAGTTTACTGGGAAAACTACCAAAATTTGCTACTAAATTTTTATTACCTTCTCAGTTTCAACAAGGAAAAATATACAACGTCAGATCGCGCTAAAAGCTCCAGTTTTATTACAGGATATGTAGTAGTGACGTTGCTAAATTTGACCTTACACTTGATGTATGGAGGATAAGATAATATTCGAGCTTCGAGTTTTAATAACAGAAAATAAATAAATAAAGACGTAAATATTAATGCAAAACTAGCGTCACCACTAAAAATAAGCGTTTGCGTTTAAACCAGTACCAATCATTTGGGTTATTTATAATTAATTAAGTGGTATTTTTATGTTGTAATAAACAAATAATGAACTGATTTTAATGCGATCATGGACATTAAAAGGATTACGTTTACTAATCCTAAGCTTAATTTCATTTTGGAGTTTTTACTGAGACAATTTTCTGCTACTGATCGAGTCATTTTTATGAAAAACATTCTAATTGCCGAACGTTTAGCAATTAGGCAAGCTATGTTTTAAACGTAAAAATTTCCACACCCCTCTATGCATCTGTATAACAAACCCATGTATTAAAAAACACAAAAAAAAGGAAAAAGGTATCAATGTAGCGCAGTACACAAAAAGAAGTCTCTTATCGTTGGTTCTTAATTAGTTCAGGTGATGTGAATTTTGATAGAATAAAATCCATTGCTAAAGAAACATAAAAATTTCCTTGAGAGTTCGCAAATCTATGCAGGCAATTTATTCTATAGTGGCAAGTTGGGAACTGAACATAGGGATATTCTATTAGCGGGAATCCACCAAATATAAATTTTAGTTGCTCTTTAATAAAAAGATTTTCAGAGCCCAGTAACATTTTCAGGCAGATGTGGTCAAAAACACATATTGCAAATGTTCATTAAATTATACATTTTGGCTCATGCATAATTTCTATGTTCAACACACATTTTGCCTTACCTGTATGAATATGGCAACACTCCAGCACAAACCAAATAGACACGATTATTATGTACATGTTTATCAAAAATGGATCGAATTCGGTCGTTTCGCAAGCTGCAGTAAATTCAACAAACATCTTCGAACTTTTTGCATTTCGAAAAAGATAAATAAATGCAATGCACGTAAAAAGATTTAAGATTATTTGATAACCATAACCATATATCAAAATGTACTTCATAGAGTACCAGAAACATTTACGTACTTTCAAAAATCGAATCATGCATTTACCCACTAACTTTTTTATTTATCCCTATTCAAAATTTTATCTTTAATAAAAAAACACAGAGGAAACTACATCAATGAGAATTGAAATATTTCGTTTAGAAATGGTTAAAAGTTCTAATAATATAACATAGGATGATTATTGCAAATAATTATTAGAATAACTATTAAAATTAAAAGCAATTTTTCTACGAACAAAAAAGCCATCTCGTTATTTTGATATCAGAACAATAACAAGATAATGGTACTAAATAAAGGACAATTGTTAGCAAATGATGTAAAAAAAATTGCCTTACCGTTAGTAAATACCTTTCGAAGAAAATACTTATAGTTATAGAAGCTTAATGAATCAAAATAGAAATATTATTTTCATTCCTTTAGGTAACTACTTCTTTTATAATACTCACATAATTAAATGATTAATGGAAAGTCTGTACGATTTTGAAAAACAAATTGTTAACAAACAATATACAAAAAAACAGTGTTCCAAAAAGTATTTACATGGTAGGTATTGTCTTTTTATTTCGGCTAAATCCACTTCCTTGAAGATTTAAATATGGTTAGCTTTGTGTCTAATTAAATCGTCGCGAAGCACGATAAAGTCAATACAAAATAATAAAAACTATGAAGATATTTTTCTTTTTTTCTAACAACAATAATATTTTAAATCATTAAATACCCCAAGTGTCAAACTAGTATTAATTTGTAGAATAAAATGTGACTTCTAGAAATAATCCTTCCAACATCATTATAAGTTCAGTCCAGTCCTAAGACCGGTTCAACATGCACCTCCACTCTCTCCTAACCTAAGCCAATCTTCGCATTTATACATTCCCCTAAAACTCGAACATCTCACATCTTTATCTATTCGTGGACAGTATTAACAGAAATACACCCTTAACAATTTCATTCCGAAATTAACCGATCGTAAGTATAGAAGTGATTAGAGCCTGCGATGTCCCCTGTTTTATATCTCTACTGCTCTTAACATCTTGAGTTATCTGGCTTCCTAAATACCGTAAATCAGCCACTTCTTCTCGTCTGCTATTTTCATATTCACTCTTTCCGTACTTTTTCTTCCCTTGCAAACCAA